ATAATATAATAAAATTCTAGGCTGACGGATTTCATAAGGGAGTTCTCTGTAAAAAAGCACATTCTTAATATAGGGACAAAGTGATCATATACTAATTTAAACATTAATGTGTGATTTTACTGAAATTCGAATTAGCAATTTTTTTGTCAAGCTGTAGAGAGAAAGGAAATTGATTTTCCGTGCTCATATATGATTGAAAAAAGTATCCTTAAATTGATATTTGGTAAGGTCAATAATCCATATTACGATTGAGTACCTTTGCCTTTCATTTATGTTATTTGCAAAGTACTAAACACACAGAGCTAACTTTATTACTTATTTAGTTTGTTAATTGTCTATTTTATGATGAGAGTAGAAATTAGCAGTTGCTGGTATAATCTAGTGTTCAGTTAAATTATACTAACCATTCACTTTACAGTTTTTAAACTAGTTTTACGACTGTAATACTATAGAATAATATGATATGAATCTTTCATTTGTTGATATACTTGCTTACTGTCAAAAGTAGTACAAGTTACTACCAATTTATTCACTTATACTGTTAAATGAAATGCAAATAATGCAACCTTACAAGTAAATTTATTCTAATTTTATATCATAAACTGACGTAAAATTTTGTTGCAATTACGTTTCCACAGATAGAGTCCATAAAATTACTAAATGTGATTTGGAGGCCAACCGATCAACAACAATTAAATACGCCCTAATTACATATAATATTGTCTTTCGATTTTCACAGTTCTATAGAACTAAGCTGTATACACTTACGATTTAAAAGGAAAATACATAATATTGTTATATTGTACTCAATCAACTCATTTTTTGATGACATACATAAGCTAATGCTTGAGGATAAATAAAAAAAACGGAGAAAATGAAAAAGGAAAATTTACCTAACTATTAAAGCGATATTTACAATTTCTCCTACTACCCCGTTGTTTCGTAAGCGAAAATAATAAAAATTACGATTTGAACCCGAATGTAAAAATAAAATCCCCGAAGAAATAAGTTTACTAGGTATTTTAGTTGATATTACAAATTAAATTGTAATAATTCAAGAACTTGAAATAATTTTTACAAAACGTCAAAATCTAGATTATTACAAGTTACCTAATAAATTCTACTATTTCTATTGTAAATTTAGTCATTTACATTGGAAAATTGTAATTTTTGCATTTTCATCAAAAATTTGTTTTCTCCGTGTAACTTGTTTTTGTCGCAAACAGTATCCATATTACAGATTCTTTGTACAAAATATGGTTTCGATTATGAAAACAATATATTTGTATAATTGCTTGTGTGAAACGTTGTAATTTGTTAGAGATAATTTGGATTCCGGAATGAAAAGATTTAGTTGCTTTAGCTTTCCCGTATAGTAATACATAAATCATAAACTCAAAATGATTAGGTTGTTATATGAACTAGTGTCTCATAATGTTGATTTAATTTTAAATAAATCTCAGCGTCGTTACTTTTTCTAGTAAGTACGTACTATTAATTAAATTATAATAAACTGCAAGAAAGATGAAGGATTATACATATTGTATAAAAACAACTCTGGTTTTTACGACATTCTGTTGAAGGGTACGTAAAGGTCGTCTAACAAAGCATCGTTATCTGTAAAAACATGCTGGTTTAATATTGTGCTGTAAAAACAGCTTGTGCAATACTTGTATTCGTGTGTATCTTCAGTATTCGTCTGGAATTTGTGGTTAGTATAGGTACGCTAGTGAAATGGTGAAATTTATTGGAACAAATATCGTAATTACAAATTAAAACGCGGCGAACTGTAAGGACTAACATAATTTCAGTGAAAAGTGAACTTTGATTGTATACCTACTGCGAATCGATATTTGATTGATCCTACCTGAACTTGTTGAAAGTGACAAGGTGAGCAAAATTTTATAAAGTAATTGCAATGTTACAATAATTTAGGCGTGATTAGTTACTATAGTAAGATTATCACTGTTAAAATATTAAGCAAACGCTACTAAACGAAATAAGTGGATTCCTTGTTACTCTCCTTACATGCATTTAGACGTTTGTCTTAGCAAGTGAAAGGAACCTATTTTTGGATATGACATCATCCCGTGGAGTCCAATTTAATAATAAACCACTGATAACTGCAGTGGTGAAATTTGCACCTAGGTCGATAGATAGAAAATTAACAATTGGCTAGGTTTCTGAATTTAAATGAATACTTAATGCATCAATAGCTTGCAAATATAATACCACAGTAATAAAGTAAATAAATTTTACATTTGACTGATATAATTAATTCGAACATGTACTATACAATAGTAATAATTATGGCTACGTCTAATTTTGTATACATTTTTAATAAGGGCTTCTTTTAAAAATTATTTGAATCTTTTTGAGTTAAATTCCTGATCGTTACTATTAAATTATGCAGTTTTTGCCAGGGTGGCGCTCAAATAATTAGACAACTTTATGTTTTTGTAACGTTTCGGTTTATTCAACCATCTTCAGACTTTTGAAGTGTTACTGATTGTACACAGATATTAACTTAATTTTAGATATTGTTTCTTGTTGAACCACTGCAGTATGTGAAAGAATGTTTAAAATTAAGTTAATATCTGTGTACAAGCAGTAACACTTCAAAAGTCTGTAGATGGTTGAATAAACTGAAACGTTATAAAAAACATAAGGTTGTGTAATTTTTTGAGCGCCACTCTGGAAAAAACTACATAATTCTTTGGTGTCTAAGATATGCTGTCACCCCAATGAAAAGTCGAAACGTTTGCATTGAAAGATACAGGAAAAAGAAAAATGCAGAAAAAATCTGAAATTGGCTATCCATTCGAAGATTGATGGGAACCTGCGTTTCAGTATAAAAATCATATATGTGAACTTCCTTTTCGTATTGTCCTAGGCATTTTATTGAAACACAAAGAAATTTTGAAACTGTATACTCAGTTGGGTTTCTAATTTTGAATACGTAGTTTTAGAAAACTCCTCCTTTATTTTTACTTCAGCCAGCATCATTAATATGCTAAAAAATTTTTGTGTTTCTGTTACAAAAAGCGGTTTAAATTATATTTGACTAATTTTGAGTACGAAGTTTCAGAGCGCTTCTCCTATATTTTTATTGCAGCTAGGATCACTTTGTGTTAATGAGTTTATATTTTGTAGCCATACTTACAAAACAAATGTTGGAGGTTTGCAAAAATACAGTTAGGTGACTACTTAAGGTTAAGCGACTTTCTTCAATACTTTTTTACAATTTAACCTCTTTCAGTAATTTTCGATTGTCAAGTGATATTTATGACATACCCCATTATATCTATGTACCTACAAATTTTAAAAGAAAAACATTATTTTTAAAAATGTGGTTAACTTCAATGATGCGCCACTGTTTCTGACAAATTGAAAGCAGAAATTTCAGTGGATAATAACTCTATAGGTTTAGGTATAAATAATAGTTTTGGAATTCAAATGTTTTCAGTTGATGAAAACTAAGGTTTTTACAATACTTTAACACTTTAATGTTCAATTTTTATGCTTTCTCCTTCTGCACGTATTATTGTAATTAAAATCAAAGTCTGCGATTAATGTTTCAATTCCTAAAAAGTGATGTCTGTTAATTTGTTTCGAGGATATGGAAGATCAAAAAGGATTGTTAATATTACTTTATTATTTTTCTCAATAACTCGTCAGGAAATTAAAGCCTAACAAAATTTAAATAAACTTCTAACTGGCTTTCATTATTATTCCTATAATACATTGACATATAGGCATATACGAGGGTGGATTGATAAGTTTCCGGCCTGACCAAGAAAAACAAGGTTTTTAAAAATTTTTTTTTTTTATTTCTCAACATAATCTCCTCCNAAGAAGAAATGGTGTTTGTCAGTTGTTTATTTCTGAGATAGAAAAATTATAAAAAGTATAAATAATTAACACAGATAAAAGTAGCTAGTGTAATATGTATGAAACTAATAAACAGTATTTACAGAAAGGTAACAGTCGTGTTTAGAAGTGATGTCCAAAACTATGTCCACCAAAACTGTGTCCACCAAATCCACCAAATCCACCTTCCAGTCCACCGTGGTGTTCCTTAATAAGAATTGGTACTTTCTTTTCAATAAGTACCGGTACTTTTACTGGGACAGGAATTTCCTTGTGAACTGGATAGGGAATTGGTTTGGGCACATGAATGGGTACTTTGATAGGGAAGGGGATCTTGACAGGTACTTTAACTGGATAGGGCACATGCTTTTCGACTGGATATGGAATATGTTTTTCTACGGGTACTGGATATGGTTTTGGCACTAATACTGGATAAGGTTTTTCAACTGGTACTGCAACCTTAACAGGAACTAGTACTGGAACCTTCTTCTCAACAGGTACAGGTACTGGATGAGGTACTGGATAAGGTGTTTCTTTAGTGATGGTTATGGTCTTGATATGACCATGATCACCACCTCCAAATCCTCCTCCAAATCCACCTCCAAATCCACCCCCGATACCATGAGATTCAAAACCGCCTCCGTATCCAAGACCAAAGAGACCTCGTTTATCTTGTTTTTTGCTGTCCCCATCTGAGGTTTCGACTGCCTTTTGATCTTTTACCTCTTCCACTGGTTTCTTCTCTTCCGCTTTGTCAGCAGAAACGAGAACTAAACAGGATACGAAGAGCACCACCTAGAACAAATTCATCCATTAATATTATATTAATTAATGTAATTATGTCAGTTAATAATAGTGCAAAATATAATTGATCCTATTACCTTTATTTTCATTTTGGACCGATTAGTGAAACGAACAACGACTGTTATGTTTTGCTTGGGGATTGGAGTGTTTATATACTAGAGGAGCGACACGGTTGGGAGATGTTAAAACATTTCTTGCTTTCTATATTAATATCCCTTCCTCGTGCGTGTATGTACATATGACGATATTACGGGAATATTAAGGAAATTTGTAACTTCCACTAGACAATAAGTGAATTGCGTATGTATGCACCAGTTTCTTCATGTTATACGATTTACGAACTTATCAACGACTGCAAAACTATACATGGTCTGCGAATGACCTTGGTGTAATCGGTGGTGACATAATTTCACACGAGAGTATTGGGCAGCAGTGTGAGAGATAGATTGATCCAATTTCGGATTTATTGTGCGAAACGCGTGAATTTGTGCTTGCCATATGACATTCGATACTGAAAACTAATGTTGAGGAAAGTTATAAAGAATCGCTTTCTCTTCAAAATAATATTAATCAGTACTACTTATCATTTTTATTTAATTGCACTTCCGCAAATACCAGGATTTTAATCCGGAAGTACGATTTAGCTGTTTGAGATTAATGCTTTTACTTATATCTTTAGGGCTTTACAGTATACTAATATATGTACAACAAGGCAAAATCCTAAGTGTATTTGTGGAGAATATTTGTGATTATTAAGATGTGAGGGTAAGGATATGTTCAAACGTTTAGAATTTTTAAATTGTTAGAATAGAGCATATTAAAATTATGGTTAAGATTGCTTGTAGCTGCTGCCATTTTATAGGAACAATTCTTCAAAGATTTAACAAAGAAGAATTTTCTGGTGAAATCCCAGCATGTTGACGAATAAAAATCTGTTGTTTGTCTTGAAACATTTTTTATTTCTAATTTGAAGAAAATTCCATAAGCTTCAGTGAAGCGATATTTACGTTACAGGTTGTTACCTCTCGTAGAGACGATCCTCTACAAATCGTTAAAGTTTAAATTAAATTTCTTTCCTGGTTATATAAGAAATCTGCTTACAATTAGTTATTTACCTACAATTGCATATTACTACTAATAACAACTTAAGAAGCGACAATAAAAAAAATTACATAATGGAATAGTGTAAGTTTCGCTTGTAATTTACTTCTTGATTGTACCTCGTATATGTAAACAATTGCAGGACAAGTTTCACTTAAACGAATATCTATTAATTTATTCATGAAATGTAAAGGAATCATTCTAAGTGGATAGACGGCAGATACGAACGCTGGTTACGTAATTCTGCGTAATTATCATAAAACTTGACGGTTGTCTGCAATTCGTATCGAATGGGAAATATCAAAAATATGTCATATAATTTCTATTTTTTTAGATAGATATTAAATATTACACTGTTGCAAAATATCTATGCTGAATGTTATGACAATTGACATGTTTTCAAAATTAGATACGTGGCCAGCACCTACGTACTTGTTAATAATAATTAGTTCATGATGACACAGATTAATGCTTGGTAAAAGGCATTCATATCAAGATTAAACAAACATATTTTAAAATTATTGTAAATATATATATCTAAGTCTTTAAAGTGTGACACAATAAGTATATTTTACGAAATTCCCACATGCAGAATAATTGTCTTTTTTATATTTTAAGAAAAGAAATTAGAGCCTATTATTTCGTGTTCGAAACAGTCGTAATTATTTCTCGGGTTTGAATTGCAAATAGTTTCCAATTTTCTTTGGCACATGCAGTTGAAACAATTAAATGTAATTACAGCTCGGTTAACTAGAATTCGGCGAGCATTACACAAACTGCAATGAGAAACACTAACTTCTGTAGTAAGTATTATCCACACCTGCACATTGCAGTTATTAAAGAAAACTAGGTTTTCTATTACACAACATACCCAACTTCCTCGCTCAATTGCGGAGAGTATTAATTAAGTAGAAAATAAAAAAAGAAACAAGAACAAGTACATGTGTATAAAAACAATTTATTTACATCATATAAGCACAACAACAATGAAATTATAAAAAAAATGTGCTGAGAAATCTTCAGTCAGGCAAAAATTATTGCGTCCTCTGATTTACAAATTAAATAAAAAAAAATAATAATAAATTCGAACGCATTTTTCACCTGTAAATGTATTAGGTGCAACAGACTTGTATGCATGATAGTATTGACCCACGTCATATTAAAAATGATGGCCAAAACTATGGTGTTCTAAGCCATGGTGTTCATCTTTTAAATACACTGGGTATTTCTTTTCGACAATAATTGGTACTTTAACTGGGTAGGGAACGTGCTTGTTCACTGTTACCGGATATGGCTTGGGTACTTCTACTGCGAAGGGCACTTTGAACGGTACCTTTACGGGAACCTTGATGGGATAAGGTACTGGCTTATCAACAGATACTGGATAGAATTTCTTAACTTCCACGGGATAAGGCACTGGCTTCTCAACGGGGTAAGCTTTTGGTATCTCCACTGGAACTTTGACGGGATAGTGAACAGGGTAAGGCTTCTTCACTTCGTAGGGAACAGGGTGTGCAACTGGGTAAGGTACTTTCTTTTCGATGGTTATTGCTTTCACATTATGTTCTTCTATATGGTCACCTCCTCCCAAACCACCCCCAAGATCGAAACCGTGACCGCCTCCAAAATCGTGACCACCAAAGTCGTGACCTCCTAATGCGATATCGTGTGAACCTAATCCTCCAGAGAACAGTTCATCTTCTCCTCCAAATCCGTGATGGTCTCCCAGGAGCAACCCTCTTTTCTCTGTCTTCTTGACCTCTTTCTTGTCCACCCCTTTCTTCTCTTCCTCTGCCAAAACAGTAGCCAGGAAGGCGAAAAAAAGAAACTGAAACCAAAGCGCGATTTTGTAAAAACTTTTACTAAATCAACAATTCGTTTCTTACCTTGGACTTCATTTTGACGTGTGTGTTGAAAAACAGATGTGATATGGTAAATATCCAACAGGCGTCTCGTTTATATACTGGTCGTTGCAGAGAAAACTTTCGCTGCTTATTCTCTATGACTGATATCGCAATTAATGCTTTTCAAACATGCGTAAATCTTATGGTCTTCCTTTATGAACTATTTCCTATGCAATAGCCGAAAGAAATGCTAAATAAAAGAATTGAAAATGCTCTAGTTATGTAACTATTGGACTATAGTGTATTGACCATATTGGTACTAATTATTTTAATAATAATTAAGCAGGAATGCGTCAAAACTCGTTTACCCCATATGATCATGAACAGATACAACGTAGCCTAAGTACGCATACACTTTAATCAAAGAATATTAAATAGTGTTTAGCTTTGTGGAGTACCTTTTACCATTTTATAGTTTAAATTAACTATCTTAAGGGTAGTTTCATTATTATGAATTAGTAATATAGAAACTATATGGTCTCACTTAGGAATGAAATATTATTTTTCTTGAATCAATAATAGAAATAATAATTTATGGTGCATATAGCACAAATGTTTCAAATACAAATGGTAGATTCTCTGGTCCAAATTCCTTAAGAGCCCAGAACACAAAATGTAAAAAGATATTATTGTTTAAATTTTACAATGAACATAACCACTAACCTAACATTTTAATCCTTCTATCTACTTTATTTACTAATCAGTGGAAAAAGAAACGATATAATATACTTATAGAAGAAAATGATGAGAATGATTGAAATTAATATATATGACGCCGTTGAGGGTGTAGTAGGTACAATGTAATTAAAACTTAAAGAAAATGTTCATAGCTCCGACAATAAAGATCATAATTCTTAGTTGCTGCAATGAAAGAGAATAATGTTCTTTATCATAATTGTTTCTAAATTTGTAGGCAAGTTCTTTCAAAGGTAATTTTAGCGACGCTTATATATGATCGACGTCCTCATTGCCTTCAAGTAACTGAGCTTCCGATTGAACCGATTTGATGGATGCTTACATTGACATCTCATTGACTAACAAATTGCAATTAGCAGGTTGTTATACATTTCGAAGCATTTGATCTCGGTTTGTAAACGAGAACTAATCAGAGCTCCGGTAAATGATGCAATTAGGAAGAAACTCAAAGACTGAGGAATGCTGATTGATAAGTGGATAAAATGTATACTATTTGCATTCTAACATGGCAGTGTTTGGTAAATGTATTAACCACTTGCAATTTTGGGAACGCGTAGAAAGTACCAGGATTCTAAAATTAATAAAGAAGAACATTGTGAAACTAGTATTTTTCCACTTTTTAGATTAACAATACTTCCGAAAACTTAAAAGGTATTATTACAAGTGTACAAAACTGCGGTTACAATTTACAAATTTTAGAATAAAAAAAAATAAAGTAAAAACAGTAAGATTATTACTGTAAAAAAGATACAACTTTACATAAAGAACTAATAATAATACTACAAAACAAGATTTAATCAGTGATTTCATCCTCTCTGTTTGAAGTAAACTCCAATATATTCACTGGTAAACAATTCCATAAATATCTAAGAAGAACAATATATAATCATCATCATCACAAGGTCGTCAGTCCTGAGACTAGTTGGACACGCACCTCCACTATTTCCTATCCTGAGTTGATTTTCGCATTTCCGTAAAATTAGAATAACCTATATCCTGAACTATTTGCGAACAGTAAACCAATCTAGGTCTACTTCTACCCCTCCTAACTTCCGTTTCTGCCTCTAATATATCTCTGACTATATCTTCATGCCTGAGAAGGTAACCTATCTTGCCTATTTCTTATTCATTTCTATACAGTCCTCTGTTCTCTTACTCTTTCTAATACCTCTTCATTTTTAACCTTTTCTATCCACGGTTTATTATATTATTCGCTTGTAACACCACATTTCGAACGCTTCTAATCTTTTCTTTTCCGCCTCGCC